GGAGGGCAGTGACAACTCTGTTGCTGTAGATTTTCCGGGATGTGTGGCCGTGGTCTTGGCATTTTCGCCAGCAGCAGCTGTGACTGGCATCCTCAGAGGTACAAACACAGAAAGATGGAGGACTCTCTGTGTCAAGGTGAGAAGCAAAATGGTAGGCAAATTTACTGCCTACCATTTTGCTTCTCACCTTGACACAGAGAGTATTCCATCTTTCTGTGTTTATACCTCTGAGGATGCCAGTCACAGCTGCTGCTGGCGAAAATGCCAAGACCACGGCCACACATCCCGGAAAATCTACAGCAACGAATGAACTCCGGACAACATAGTGACAACTATGGTTGCACCTGAGTGGGGAGGAGAGGCCCCGCAGCGTCAGGGCAGCGGCGGGCCCTTTGAACGGTGCGGTTCTCAGGCTCCCCTTTCGCAGTTGCGCCCCCCTTGGCTTCGCCTTTCAAAGCAAGGAGCTGAAGAGATACCAAAATTATGTTGTGATTAGTTACAACAATTCTACCGTTGGAGAGACAAAGATGTCTGTATATCCGGCCAGACTGCAGGGAGCTGGAGAGACGAGAAAAGATCCTGACTGAATGTAGGACTCCTGACGGTCTTTCGTGCAAACCAGGACGCGCCGCCATTCAGAGCCTCGCTCGCCTCTGGCCCTCTGGCAAAAGACAAAAAGCCAGCCCTTCCCTACCTCGGAGGAACCAACGTCCTCTGCCTTCCACAAACATCTCTCGCTGAACAGCACACTTCTCACGGTCTCCCTTCCAGCCGGCCCATCTTCAGCCCCGCACTGGCGCACCCGGGGCCAGACCCCCACCCCGGGGGTCTACAAACTCGGCGCTAGGCTTGGAGGAGGCGGCGGCGGGGGACAGACAGTCCGGGGGAAGAGGCGGGTTCTTAACGATGGCGAAAGCACGGATTTGAAGGCGGGGGGGAGGCGACAAGGAGACTACAGGGGTGTTTGTTTGCACGACGCAAGGGACCCCCGTTTCCCCTCTCCAGCCCTCAAGTAGCGGAAGCGAAGCCTTTGAACGCTTTCTCCGCTCTTTTGAGGAGCTGATGGAAGGGAGCTGTCTTCAAAGGAACGCGGACCAGGACTGTCTGAAAGAGCTGCCCCCACCCCGCCCGCCTGGAGCCCTCTCGCCGCTGCCTGAAATTCTGGGGACTGATGCCCGGACTGAGGAGGCAAAGGGAGGAGGGAAAAAAACCACCACCAGCAGCAAGGGAGTCTGCGGTTCCCAACATGGGCACCGGCTGCTGTCCGGACCAGGAGGAGCGTGCAAAAACAGCGCTTCCCTGACTTGGGAGGTGGGTGGGTGGGGGGTCCGCAGACATTGAGCGCAAGCAACCGTATTTATCGCTTGCTCATCCAGGACTTGATCAGGGTAACCGGCAGCATCAGCTTCATTTCCGGGGGCGGGCTGAACCAGCAATGCCGCACAGTCAAGGGTCTCCGGAGAATCAGAGAGCGGCTAGAGCCAAGACGGGGTGGATTTGGGTGGGTGGGTGGGAGCTGGGCTGCTTCAGGGAGCCGCCGTCTAGCCCACCACAAAAGTAAACGCGGCGGCGCAGCAACCAAAGTGTGAAATAGTACGGGCTCATTGTCCCCCCCCCCAGCAATGACCACACACACACACACACACGGATTTTGTGTACTGGGCACAGCAGGTCTCCACGCAAAGGGGAAAGGTGTGCACACCGTGTTCCCTCTAAGATGAGTTGGTGTGAGCTACCTCACGGTTTTTTTAGCCTTCGGCTCTCACATTTTTGCCTTCGCTCAGGAAGGACGGCGCGCCAGAGCAGGCTAATGTATGCAGTGGCCACCACAACGTTAATGCCAGGAGCTCAGAAAGTAGATTAATAATCCTTCCAGCTCTGTATCTGCGGCTTCCCCGAAGGATGGCACCCACCCCCTCCGCCTGCGCACACGCACCTTGCTGGCCACTGGCAGGATTTCTGCCCCAGCCGAGGAGCTGTGCGGAGGGACGGTGCTGTTTTCTGCAAACTCCCGATGAGTCCCTCCGCTCGCATTTTGGGGCACTGACTGACCCATCTCCCTTCTCCTGCCTGTCCTTCCCCCGACTGCCTCCAAAGGAACTGAAATGCCCCGCCGCGATTGTTTTCGTTCCGGACTCGGATAAGAACAAAGGTCTGCTCTTTTTTTAAAAAAAAAGGAGGGCGTATAATTAGCCAATCAGTATTATGTTACTCTGTTCATAACTTAATAACCATTTTAATACAGATGGCACACACCGGGATAATTTCCTAGGATAGCTCCGCTATTACGGAGAGACCGTGTGTGTGTGTGTGTGGGGGGGTCTTTTTAAAGCCAGGGTACATTCTCCGTTAATTTTACCTGCCGTTTTGGAGATGATTTGGGATAATTCCATATCATTTTCAAAAATATTGAAAGCTACAGCTGGAAGATGTCAGCTAGGAAAATGCCTATCGGCTATCAGAATTCTTTTGATAAGTCTTCTGCTGAAACCAGAGGAATTCACAACAAAAACAAACCCTGTTTCCACGCGTATTTGTGTAATAATTTTTTTTTTTTTTTTAAAGGGCCGGATTTTCTGAGTGGCAGGATTCGGTATCTGGGCAAGCAGTGGCGGAGACGGACGCTCTGGATGGGTCTACCCGGCCGCTTTCGGCGCTGCTTTTTCCCAATCCGAGGTGCATGAAGTACTTCCAACGGCTGCCCTTCTCCTCCCCCCCATGCAGGAAGCAGGCCGTGGCCTGTTCCCAGCGACACTTTCTAAAACACCCGGAGAGGGAGAGGGAGAGGGAGAGAGATGCCGGACATGGGCTTCTTGCCTAGGCTCATGATGGTGTAAACAGGGTAGTTTGTTCTGACTCCTCAGACGGGGGCGTCCTGAGCAGACGGCCCATTTAGTCCGCGGGGGGGGGGGGGCGTAG